AGTTGTTGATATAAAGCTGGGGATTTAAACGAAAATAATTTTACATCAGCAACTTTTTTAAAAATATTACCAAACTTATATACAAGCAACAAATCTTATAGTTTTTTTACAATAAAAAAAAATGTTGAAATATTTGTTTATTGCTTTCTAGACTATGTTTCAGGGTGACTGACATGTAGAATAAGCTTCCATCGATAGAAGTGGAGGCCAACACTTTATAACAGCTTAGGAGTGGTATCGATTCCTGAAAAGTAAAGGATAGATCTAATTTTTACGTTACCCAAGAATTGTTGTGAAAGGACAACCTTGAAGTACTAAATGGTCTTTTGTTGTTCATAGGTTATGTTAAACAATACCAATTCCTTAATAGTTAGTTTTCTTTGCTAGACTACAAAAGTTTGCAGTGAAAGCATAAAACGTAATTAATGGGTAATTCAGATTTGACAAATTTATCGTAACTAATTTTGTACATTATGAAAATAAAATAAATTGAAAATAACTATCAAAATTATATTCAGAAATAGTGAAACTGAGTTTTGGTTAACTGCGCTAGAAGAAACAATTTTATTCCAGTTATAAGCAACCTAAAGTCACACAATAATCAAAGTACAAATAGAAGCTTTTAATTTAAGATATATTAAATTACTTTATTGTTTTGCATTGTGCATTTTGTTTTCTATTCTACTACTATATTTGTATTTGTTCTGCACACTTTCGGTAATAGTGTTATTTAATCACGACACAAACTGCTAGTACGCTGATAATTAATGGGTAATTCAGATTTGACAAATTTATCGTAACTAATTTTGTACATTATGAAAATAAAATAAGTTGAAAATAAAATAAGTTGAAAATAACTATCAAAAATTACATTCCGAAATAGTGAAACTGAGTTTTGGTTAACTGTGCTAGAAGAAACAATTTTATTCCAGTTATAAGTATCCTAAAGTCACACAATAACCAAAATAGAAATAGAAGCTTTTAATTTAATATATATTAAATTACTTTATTGTTTTGCATTGTGCATTTTGTTTTCTATTCTACTACTATATTTTTTATTTGTTCTGCATACTTTCGATTATTATGTTATTTAATCACAATGACACACTGCTAGTACGCTGGTGAGTTAAATGTCTATCTTCTCAGAAAGCCTATTATAAAAGTCAGAGTTCCATGATTCTATTTATACATGTAAAACTTAAAAAATGATATTTTAGGGAAGAAAAGTTGTGTGAACAAATCAACTAAGTATTGGTTCAATAACGTTTTAAAATATAAAAGCAACTGAATGATTAACTCATATAAATAAATATTATATACATATAACTAGATGGAATTCTGCTTGGATAATATTTTCATTAAGATTTGATTCAGAACAAAGAAAAATGAATCAGTTAAACGTACACCTTATTCAACAACATTAAATAAAGTGGGGAGAGGTTAGCGTGGTTCAGTGGCTTTACGTTTCGGACTCGTAGTCATTGTTGATTGCGAACTCAAGGCTTACTCACAACATACTGTTGTGTACTTAAGCAAGACTCTTTACCCCAATTGTTTCAGTTTACTCATCTGTATGATGGTTACCAGCTGTTAGGTTGGAGGTTAACCTGCGATGGACTGGCATCCCGTTTTGGGGAATTGTATTATTATACTCATCTGTTTGTGCCTATTACTACGGTTATAATAATATTTATATACTATTACTTACATAATAAATTGATCAGTATTTTGATTAGCAATTTATTTATTAAAAAAGAGATATGTTATAATTAGGGTATGAGATAATGGTTGCATTTTGTCTGTATACGTATTTTCAAAACTTTTTGTGGAAATACTCCGGCGCGATATATGGGCGATAGGTATACAAAATTCACATAATTTGTAATATTGTCTTTTTTGGCGAAACCCTTTCAGTTTTTAGCCATATATTTCTTTAAAAATTCGCGAAGATGTAAATTAAAGTATTTTAAGCGTGTTCTATTCATCAATTTTAGAGATCGAATACACCAGAGTAAAATCTTTCATAAAATACCTTATGTTTGTGGTAAAAACATCGACCAATGTAGCATGTGAAGTAAAAGGAATAAATTGTGTTTTCTGTTACAAGTAGTTTTAACACGATCTTTATATATATATGTGTGTGTCTGTGTGTAATTCTTTAATTATAATTTATGTGTTTTCAGCTCTCTTAAGTACATAAAATTTACAACTATTAATTATAGCTATTGCATTGTATATAATTGTGGCCTTGTGTAATTGTTTTAGCTCATAGCAACTTTTACTGTTTAATTTAAAATAACAAACGAAGAATAAATTTAACCTATCGCTTATTTTTCCAATGGTGATTTATTTAAAAAAATCCTTGAACAATAAGTTTAGAAGTATCTATAAAAAGTAATTTTTTGGCCTCTTCCACATTGTACAGATGACATATTATTATTTGTTTGTTTTTTGTTGTTGTTAAGTATGTTTAGTTTATTGCAGCATTTGATATAACAACATATTTGTTGTTAGTGCAAAGAATTAGAGGGGTGCTTTTATATATACAAACTGTTTGCTAAGGAATTAAAAATCTTTTCGTGCATATATGTGCTGCCATCTGTTAAGTACTCTGTAAGTACTAAAATTATGTGCTCATCAGTAGTGTTGCTTCCGTGATTGGACAGTATTCAAAGTACGTGTATAAAATTAATAAGAAAATGTTTATGAGAACAAACTACATAAAACCTTCTTCACAATGGTGTAATTAGATATGTACAGGTCATAGTTTTAGAGGTAAAGGTGACGCTGTTTGATTAACATCCAATTCAGGACGCATCTTGTGTGTCCATAAATTTTCTTTAGTGAAGATGTTAAAGTGTTCTGAAGTCACAGTCTTGTAAACAGTGGTGAAGGATGGACGACTGATTATATACTGTGTTTTGTGCATGCTTTTTAATACGTGAGCTCAGACAACGTATTGTAGAGCCCACATAGCCAAGGTTACACCTTGGACATGTAAATATATGTATATATATGACGTAAGAGCGATGTGTTATAGGAATCATGTCTTTAAATTTAAAATATTGGGGAATGCGGATAGTATAGAAATGCTACGCACAAAAGAGAATTTGTGAATACACAAGATGCGTCCTGAATTAGATATGTACATTGATATAAAATTTGATGCAAAGAAACAATACTCGTGTTTTGTTTGTTTGAATTTCGCGCAAAGCTACACGAGGGCTATCTGCGCTAGCCGTCCCTAATTTAGCAGTGTAAGAATAGAGGGAAGGCAGCTAGTCATCACCACCCACCGCCAACTCTTGGGCACCTCTTTTACCAACGAATAGTGAGATTGATTGTCACATTATAACGCCCCCACGGCTGAAAGGGCGAGCATATTTACTGTGACGGGGATTCTAACCCGCGACCCTCAGATTGTGAGTCAAGCGCCTGACCCACCTGGCCATGCTGGGCCCTATTCGTGTTTTATTGATGTTAAAATCTAAATTGTTTCTATGTTCATTGTAATATATTTCATATGCGATTTTTTGAAAAATTAAACAAGAAGATAAAACCCGAAGTAATAAAATACTAAAATTGTCATATCGAAAGGAAAGATCATGCCTACACTACCAGCATTAATTAAAATTGCAGAGTGCGGAGAGACTTGAACGGTGGTTTTATTTGTTAGAATTAATAATATTAATTCTCTGTTGCAACACTGTTTTATATAGATAAATCCACCAGTTACGTAGATTTTAACCATCTAACCATCTTTCTATATATGATTATCTTTACAAAATTTAAAACATCCTAAAATGTTACATTGAACATTTTTTGGATTCGAGAATATGAAAAATGTCTATAAAAGAATACGTTTTTAAAATTAGTTTTACCTGAAACAAAAATAAAATAGTGTGACCATTATTTACATAAAAATATTATTAAATAATTGTTCTGGAAAATGTAAAAAAAACGTGATTTAATTCTCACATAAAAACTTAAATATTTATCATAAGAAACAAAAGCATGTGAATCTCCTTAAAGTTATAAATTTGTTAAGCAACTAATAAGCTAAATCCTCTACACGCCCACATAATAATAAAAGAACCATAATATACTTTGATGCTCAGGCTTAATTTAATTTCATTGTTATTATTATCAGATATGTTTTATGCTTGTTTGTTTTTGAGCGAAAAGCTGGATAGTTTTGACGGACAGTATGGTTATTTTAAAGAGTGTATTACCTATTTATTAACTGTGTACAATATACTTCAATGTTACTATTATTTAAGAACATCAGACGATCAGTTTGTGAGTGTAAGATGCTATGGAATACAAAAATGAAATAAAAAATCATTTTTATCTTCTTGTATTTTAAAAATGATTTTTTTAAATATTAACTACAAGTTTCTATTATTAAAACTTTTATGTTTTCATCATAGTTACATTAATAGACGGGTAATATTCTAAGCCACTTTGGTAGTGAATAACAGTGTATGACTGAATTAAATCAAATAACCTTCTGTTTTTATGTACATAGCTTGGGAATGACAAACAATAGGAAATTTTATAACTTTTACATACCTGGTAAAATATATATATATAGATATAAGAAATTAACTTTACACTCATATATATATATATATATAAGTATAACGTTAATGTCTCACATACTTTCCTTCTGAAAGATACAGTTTGATATTGTTATCAAACACACATACGTGTCAACGTAGTGAAGGAAATGACCTATGATAGGAACTTCCGTCACCACAGGTTCCCAATGTTTTCGGGGAGGAGATTTGTATGTGATTCAGGTAAGTGTGTATTTCATGTTTTGGATATAGGTGAATATCAACAGATATTAGTATGTAGCATTTAAAGTATTATATGCTTAAAAACAATTTAGAATGATTTAAGTTTTGTTGTATGATCATATCATTACTTTTATTAACTAAGCAAACCAGGTAAATGACGTCATTTTTGACGTCAGCTGGCTGAAGTCTGCACTGAAGATGGCGACAAACATAGGAGATGTGAATGGTTGTACCGAGTCTGATATTGGAGATTCAAGAAAAAGGACTTTAGATACAGAATTAGATGTTGGATCTACAAAAAGGTCACATAATGGTGGGTGAATGTGTTGTATCAATTTTGTAGTTAATGTCTGTGTGTGTCAAAAAACGAAACTATAAGTAACAGGGTATGACATGGGGACCATATGCTGTGCACGGGAATTTGTATCGGACGTTTGCGCCTCTTGTCGTTAAGGTTGTAAACCGTGATACGTGTTCTGTGATTCCAGGCCATGCCGGTATGTGTAGTGCCGGCCACGTAACGAAACTCACTGGAGCTAACCCCGTGTTGAACTCCACAAATATTTAAAGCCCGCTTATGGTCATAAGTTATAATAAATGTGTTATTTTAAGTTCCGTGATAAAGTGAGTGTAAATATTTTGCTGTCAGTTATTAACTATAAGTATCAGCATAGCCATCATTTCATTTCATCTTTTTATTTTGATATTCTAAAATTTAATTTAAAGAAAAATAAATGTAATTGTAAATATATAATAGTAACACATGACTATGGATTATGTAATAATCAGTTCTGATTAATTATTTACCACTGTGGTGATACATACTCAAACTTACTTTACTTTTATTTCATAATTTATTTTTTATAAAAATTATTTATTAATTTGTCTTCCTTCTAAATTTATCATTAATTTTTATCATATTTCTGTGATGTATCTAACCAACAACTGAATGTATTTTCAGTAATTTAAAGTTTGTGACATGAAAAAAGTGTTTACAGTTTTATACCCTTGTGTTTATGAAACTTAAGTATTGTATTACATTGAGAATAATTAATTGGGCTTGTCATATAAAAGTATGGCTGTGATATAAAATGGAAATGTAGCATTATTTCTCAATCTTTAGTAGGAATATGTACAGCCACGTCACTCAAAAAAAGACAGGAATATTACTGTGGGAGTTTATAATTTTGGGGAATTTGACCGGGTTAGTCGGTTGTATTAATTAACATGATGCTGAAAAACATCTTTTTGGAAAATTTTCTCACTCAGCACAAGAAAGATCTTCCTAAGAAATATGCTGTTTTAGATTTTATTTGTACAGAGGAAAATGCTATTCAAAGTGTAGTTGTCTAAGATCATTTTAGTTCAAGCAGTTATAACATTATTATCTTTGATCTTTGAATTGTAGAATGAATAAAAAGTGCCATGGATTTTAAAAATATGGATCTTCATAAATTTTAAGGTATATTGTGAGAAAGTGATTGTAAAACAATGATAGTCTGGAATGTTATTGTGGTATGATCATGATCATGTTAGCTGAAAGTAGTGTATTTCTTCCAAGATATTGCATTCTAACCAGAAACTAATTCTTAAATGGATGAATAGTAGAGTAATAAATTATTAATATTCTAAGCTTGTACAAAAATATGAAATTACTAGTAGATTGGAGAATAAAAAAAAATAGTCAAGAAAACTCTTGTTTGTGTTAAGGGAATTATAACATATGGACAACAAGGGACCATTTGGTTCTTCAAGGCTGTACTTACACACCCACTCTTAAGAAAAGTAAAAAAACCTTAAACCCACCTTTTATTTTACAGAAAATCATCAATTCCCTACTTAAATACTTGTAAAGTGCCAGCCTTCACTAGTGCTACAGGCATCTCGTACCATTAAACTAAACACCCTGTTAGGAAAATAAAATCATCTTAACTAAGCCTGTCTTAAGTTTATGACTTCTTGTTCTGTTGTCTTCAGAAGAGAAAATAAGAAACCTTAATCTACTAGCCTTCCTCTGAACTCTTTCCAATGAGTCAATATCCTTTCTCAGATAAGGAGAACAAACCATTCACGTTATTACAAGTGAAATGAACTAACAATTTTTACAGAAAGATAATTATTTCCTTTGTCTTGTAAATAGTATATCTATAAATACACCATAAAATTACATTAACTTTGCTACTAGCAAAGAGCATTGCCTCAGTGGTTTGAATGACTTACCCATCAGTATGTCAAGATCCTTTTCTTCATTCATGCTGTTGTGTGGCTTCCCATCTATATTAATTTGATGTGTTTTTGTATGAAAGCATTGTAATGTTTACTGATAATCTGCCAAATTTCGTTAACATTCGCTTACTAATTTAAAAGTTATAGCATGAAAACTATAACAAGCACAAAATGGTTACGAGGTCAGTCCCAGAGATCGATCCCGTGCTGAAAGAGTTAATAGAAATAAGGAAAAGCAAAGCCTCAAACTGATCCCTTCAGGCAACTTACTGGTAAAAAGGGTATAGTTTGACCTTTTGCCTCCTCTCACGTAACAACACTGCACTCTAATTAACTCTATCAATGTGATTTTCTTAGCTAATTTCTTGGTGGTACCTTAAAAAACCCTTTTCCGATACAGCACCTTACCTTTTCTCACATAATAGCCATTGTTGTTCATTCCTGCCCTCTATGCGCAAAATTTTTTCACATGTCACAAGCCTTGAAACTCCCACCTACCCTGTGATTAATGTGGATCACTGGATCTTTACAAGTAAATCACCATGTGACAACTCTCCACCAATAGGATGCAACATACCCTCCTGACACAAGTGACTCCCTCTATTCAATTCTACCCAACCAAATACTTCTCATTATACAGTGGTCTTGTTTAGACATTTCATTTATCACAAATTTTTTATCTTCTTTTTTTTTTTTTTTCTTCAAAGTAGTGCTTTCAAATTTTTGACTATTTTTTTTTTCTACAGTGTCCTCACTGCAGTTTATGGTCAAGAAAACTTACCTTTATTTTTTTGTTCTTACTTTTTCTCACAGTCGATTATGAACTCAGAATTACATGTCATGACTTCAGCTATAGTTCACACTACTTTGATTGTCATGACACAGGTGTGGGGGCTGGTGATTTTTTGGACATTATTTGCAGTGGGATTGAATTTTACCTCCCTCTTTTCCCTACATTATCCGGGATCCTTCTGTCCTTGTAGTATCTGTTCATAATAAGGAGGATTTTTTGCACCTTTTGTCTATGTTATGCATGCCTGTGTACCTCTCCTATGGAATCTGCTAGGCCTACCTTAGCCTTTATTGATGTATTTTCTCAGGTTTATGTTTTTCTGTATCCCTAGTTTTGTATGATCTAGAAGGCTAGTGATAGCATGCCTTTTCATCCACCATGGGCTTCTTATCATTATGCTATGACTTACTTTCTGGTCTCTGATACTTTTCTTGACTTACAACAGTTGGAGTCATTTTTGCCTTTGTGGGGGACAGATCCTGTGAACCCTGTACAATTATCCCAAGCGTAATTTTCCTGCCTTTGTCTTCACATATCTTTAGGACCTCTGGATGGCTGTTTTTCTCCACAGGTTTATTTCTGGAGATATTTCTGAATCTTTGAAGCTACATATAGAATCTGCATGGCTACACTCAACCCTTTCTTCTTTGGTTGCTTGTTTGTCTCAGCCTGCTCCTGTACATTACGCTATATCTGTTTCCAGTCCTTTACCCTCCCAGTCTTTGCCTGTTCCTTATTCCAGGGATCTGTTGGTTTGTCATTTAACTTGAAGTCATACTCCTCACCATTAACAGTTCCAGTGACTATCTGGTGGCATTCAGTCCAGTAGGGGCACGTTTGTTAACTTTTTTTTACCCGTGGTAGAAATTCATTCCCAACCCATAGGTGATCTGGATTTTGTTAGAGAGACTTTCTCCACGATTCCTCTCACCTCCTCTTAGTCTCCAGTTCCATTGTCCTTCCCATTACCAGTCAGCATCTTTCTGAGGCTGTTCAGACTTCTCTCACAGCATGCTATAGAGCCTGTTAGTCTTCCTTCTCTGGTTTTTACTCCAGGCTTTTTGTCATCTCCAAGAAGACTGGAAAATGGCATCCTGTGATTGGTTTGTTCTACTTCAACCAATTTCTGGATCTTCCCCACTTTACCATGGAATCTTTTCTCACCCTTCAATGGGCTTTTCCTCCAGAGATGTGAATAGCCAAGGCAGATATCTTGGATGCTTATCTCCGTATTCCCATTTCCTATTAATCCAGCCACTATCTTTGATTTGTCCTAAAAGAGGGTTGTTTTTCAGTTTTGTGTCTTACCCTATGGGCTTCTGTTATCTCCTTCTAAACTGGAGCTTTCTCAACACAATTGCCTGCTCTTGATGGAAGCAGCTTGTGTGGGTTGGATTATTAAGATGGAGAAGTCTTTCTTGATTCCTACCTAATATCTTGCCCACTTGGGTGTGTGTTTTTCAATGCTTCCCTCAGTTAAGCCCAACCTTATCCACTTCATCTGTGGTCAGTGGAGCTTTCAGTTCTCCACATTTTTTTCATCTCCCTCTCTTTCTGGATGTAAGGTTTTATCACTTTTGGGAAATTGGGCTTCCATGGAGGGTATCCCCTTAGGTCATGCACATATGCATTTTCTTCAGTAGAAGTTGCTGTATGTCCAATGGAATCTTGCTTGGGATCCCTTGGACTCCCCAACTACACTTCCTCCTTCCATTCTAGATTATCTCCTTTGGTTGTTAAAAAAGGACAACATTATGATGGGGTACCACTCCCCCCTCATCTAGATTTGCATCAGTCAACTGATGCTTCTATCTGGTGTTGGGGTGCATGGATCGATCAGTAGAGGGCTTTCGAATGGGGGTCTCAGCTCAAATGATTCTACCTTCTCAACATCTTGGAGCCTCTGGCAGTTCAGCATGCTTTGGATAATTTTCTTCCTATGGTACAAACAAACCTGTCAGATCCATTCAGACAATTCCACCATTGTTTCCTATATCAATCATCAAGGTAGCACCCATTCTCATTGCCTTTGTGATCACACATTAGAACATCATTATTGAGCCCACACATTGCAGCTACATCTCATTGTGTGCCATGTTCTGAGTGGTTTCAACCTCCTGGAGAATTGTCTTTCTTGACCACATCAGATTTAACAAATAGAATGGTCACTCATCCCTCAGGTTTTTCAGTGGATTTGCCTTCAGTGCAGTATTCTTCATATTGATGCTTTTGCCACTTTCCTCTCACCAAGCTACTTTTCTTTGGTCTCCAATTACTCATCCACAGTCCCTGGG